TGAATCCAGCAGAGCAGCTCTACAGACTGATTTTGGGTTTACATCCTCTACACCCCTCACTCACTCCTGAAACTGGCTCTCTGCCAAAAACCTCTCTCTCTCTCTGCTAGAGACATGGCTTCCATCTCTTCTCTGCTCATACTGCATCCCAAACTGCACACTAAACACTTCTACTATAAGGTATAAACTGCATACTGATCTTAATAAAGTAAAATATTACACAAAATATTAACATACAGCACCGTTTGTACTAACAGTAGCACCACTTTACAATAAGACTGCATTTCTAAAGGCTTTTTGAATTAGAATTAGTTATTTAATGGTTATTAATGAGGCCAACACCTTAAAAATCCTTAATAAGCAACTATAACACGAATAAAAAGGGCAACAGTGATTTCTTGCTTGCCAAATAGTGAGCCCACATTCATCTGCACTGTTAAAGCTCAGCTCTAGCTGGCTACTGATCTTACTTCGTCTTCAGTCAGCATTAAACCTGGCAGTTCATCACATATTTATATTCATCAGATAGAACAGGTTGCCCTTATTTATGTGTTATAACCTCTTATTGTTCATTTTAGGCTGTTTTTGACCTAATTAACCATTATTAAACTAATTTTAACCATTTATAAGCTCTTAACGAGGGGAGTTCTGTTGGAAAGTCAGAAGTGATGTCATCAGCAGGGCTTTAAAATACGAAGGTAATTGTGTTTTGCTGTACTTAAGTATTATTTTGGAGGATTTGTACTTCACCTCAGAATTACAATAATTAAATACTTGTAGTTTTGCTCAGTTACATTGCTAAGATAAAAAAACAGTCTTTTTACCTCTTACATTTTCATTTAGACCAAAGTACTCGTTACAAATCTCAAAGGCAAAGAGGATTTTTCTCTTCTTCTCTGCATTCGTATACATTTTACTTTATTGTTTTTATTAGTATGTCCAGAAAATGTATTTATTATGTCTGATGAATATGATTTTTCACTTTTTCTATGCATTCCTATACATTTTAATGTACTGTTTTTATTAATATGTCCAGAAAATAGACATATCACATCTGATGAATATGATTTTTCTCTCTTTCTCTGCATTCCTATACATTTTAATGTATTGCTTTTATTAATACATCCAGACAAATTCATATCAGTGTAAAATGATCCCGCCATGATTAAGCTAATATGGTTTTTATGAACCAGCACCGACTAGAGCTGAGTTATATGGCAATATATGTCATTATCGTGATAATTTATACAGTACAATATGCTTTTCTGGACATATCGTCGGTACTTGTAACTTAGAACACTGACCAACTGCCTGTTTCATTATAAAGAGAGCAAAGTTAGTCTTGTTTAACTGGATTTAGTGCCAAATATTAAGTAAAAATCACTGTGTCCACAGGTTTTGATAGTATTTTTAATGTAGCTCTACTGGCTCTTTTTTCTCAGTTCCAACTGATCAGATGTCTAAAAAAATAAATATTGTGACATCGTGTATCATGAAAATTTACTATAGTATTATCGCAATATTTGGTTTTCGCCATATTGCCCATCTTTAGGACCATGTCACCCACCTTTAGGACCCTCCATTAGATTTTCATTCATACTTTCACTGAAGTCCCTCTTCACTTTCTCTTTCACGTCTCACTCTCTCTATTTCGTCTCTCTATTTTTGTCAGTCTTTCATTTGTTTTCTCTCTCTCTTGTCTCACTTCTCTCACTCTCTCTATTATATACCTCTGTCTTCACTCCTTCTCTCACATCTCTCTCTTTCTCTCTATCACGTCTCTCATTTCTCGATCTCTCTTTCCCTTTCTCTCTCCTCTCTCACATCGCTCTCGCATCTATCTTTATCTTTGTCTCTCTATTATTGTCAGTCTTTCTCTCTCATTTCTTTTCTCTCTCCCTCTCACATTTCTTTCTTGCTTCTCTCCTTCTCTCTCACATCTCTTTCTCTCCTCTCCATCTCTATTATTATATACCTCTATCTGTCTTCACTCTTTCTCTCTCGCTTCTCTTTTTCTCTATCTCTCTCTCTTTCTCTTTATCTCCTCTCTCACTTCTGTCTCCCTCTCTATATGTTACATCCTTCTATCCCTTTTCATTTTTTTACTCTCACTTCTATTTCTCTCTCTCTCTCATCTTTGTTTCTCTCTATTATTATATACCTCTATCTGTCTCACTCTTTCTCTCACATCTCTCTTTCTCTCTGTCATGTCTCTCATCTCTATCTCTCTTTCTCTCTCTCCTCTCTCACATCGCTCTCGCTTCTATCTTTATCTTGTCTCTCTATTATTGTCAGTCTTTCTCTCTAATTTATTTTCTCTCTCTCATCTCTCTTTCTCGCTTCTCTCCTCTCACTATTATTATACACCTCTATTATACACCTCAGTCTTTCTCTCTCCTTTCTTATTCTCTCTCTCGCTTTCTCCTTCTCTCTCACACATCTCTCTCTATTATTATATACCTCTATCCGTCCTCACTCTTTCTCTCCCTCTTTCTCTATCTCTCTCACTTCTCTCTCTTTCTCTCTATATATTACATCCTTCTATCCCTCTTCACTCTTACTCTCTCACTTCTCTCTCTCTCTCTCTCTCTCTCTCTCTCTCCTCTCTCTCCCTCTCTCTCTGTCTCTCTCTTTCTCTCCCCCTAAGGACACTCAATGGTCAGGAAACAGACCATTCCTGTATAAAAACACTTGGAGGATGAATGTATTCAGTCCTACTTTGGGGAAATAAACAAACAAAAAAAATCTTCAAAGTGCGAAATAATTTCTCAAACTGCTGCGTAAACACAAAGCTCATGCAGAGAAGTGCAGGCGGACGGAGCTCGGGGCGTAATTACTCAAAACAGCACCACAGAAACAGAGTCAGAGTCAAAATATTATGCTAAGCGTCGTTAAAAGTCATTCAGACGGTATGGATCCCATTAGTCTATTAGTTCCCACAGAGCGCACGAACGCATCACTTCCTCTTTCCCACAATCCTGCCCGCTGCGCCTGCCACCACACGCTAACACGCTAACTCGCTAACCGGCAACACGGCTATTTGTCTGGAAGCTCTTTAAGAGACCACACATACACACGGACCCCCCTGCGGTGCCCCCCGCTTGTTTGTGTTTGTATTTGTGTGCAGATGCTTGTTCAGCTGGGAAAATCGGACACTGTGGAATTTATCACCGACATCATGTTCCCCTCCAAAATTCTTAAAAGAAACAAAGAAAATGTGGCTCCTAACAACCACCTGGAAGAGCTGGTCAACCCCAAAACTGCCCCCATCAGATAAACAGCACTTAAAGCTTTCATCTCTGAGAGAGAGGAGAAAATCAAGCTGCTTCAGATCTGAAAACATCCACAGGTGTTTCTGTCCATCCTTCCACTGTGAGAAGACGACTCAGCGCTGTGGGTCTGAAAGGATGTGTAGCTGATCAAGAAGAACCTCACTGAGAAAAGGAGACGGACACTCCAAACAAAGAAGCTGAACCATGGACTGACCACCCCAGAGTCCAGACCTCAACACCACTGAATGTGTTTGATTACTTCAGAAAATGATCAACCAGCTTCTAAGACTGAACTTTGGAGGTGTGTCTGCAGATTCTTTGAGGAGCTGAAAGTGAGATAAATAAAGGGAATAAAGGGAAAGAGTGACTCACAAAACACTGACACATCTGATGAGGCCTCTGGGTAATTTTCTGTTAAATATACTGCAATAATGAAAGCTGTTTTGACTGGAAATTAAATATGGATTTTTAGACAGTGCTGTTCATAATTTGGTCACTAGATGTTTTTTAATTCTTCACAAGATGGTTCTAAAAGGGTTCTTAAGTAAAGACAATGGTTCTATACAGAACTAGGAACACTCAAAGAACCATTTGCATGCTAACATGGTTCTTTGCATAGTGAAATGCACTGTATGTTTCTACACAGCACCAAAAAGGGTTTGCCTATTGTAAAAGCTCATAAGCTTGACACTGAAAACAATAGTAAAGCCCTTTTTGATGCTATATAGATCCCTTTTTAAAAAGGTTCTATATGGAACCATATATAACAGCCTGGTTTAGGTCTTACGTGAGAAATCACTTCGTATTTGTCAGTGTGTAGTGGTGTACCACAAGGATCAGTTTTAGGGCCCCTAATGTTATCCCTATATCACTCTCTCTCTCTTTCTTTGTCACCTTCTCTCTTTCTCTTTCTCTTCCCTTGCTCTCTCTCTCTCTCTCTCTCTCTCTCTCTTTTTCTATCTCTCTACATTTATTTCTTTTGTCTCACTCTCTCTTTAGTAGTTGCGTCACTCTCTGCTCTCTACTTTTCTCTCTCCCATTCTCTCCCTCGTTCTCTGCTTTCTCTTTCTATCTCTCTTAAGAGGTGGAATCACTGTTTCTCTTTTTTCCCTTCCTCTTATCCTCTCTCCCTCGTTCCCACGCTCTTTCCTGTCATTATTTCCGTGAAATACACACTTTTGCCATGATCTGTAAATATATGCCTTTTTCCTCCTCTCAGGGAAATACCTGCTATCACTCCCTCACATCCTCCTCTCTCTCCCTCTCTCTCTATCCCTTTCATTTTTTCATCTCTCAGCTTCTCATCCACGCTCTCTCTCTCTCTCTCCTCTCGCTCTTTCCATCTAGCCTCTAGCTGTGGAGTGTTATGTGTGTGAAGTGGAGCCAAAATGTGGGTCTCTCCACCCAAATCCAATCAAACGGAGCAGCGGATCGCAGCTAAATTTATCCATTTATAAGGGCACTCAGCCAATACATTTCCCCTACATCGATAAAGTATTCCTCCGTCCTGATATCATTTTTTAAAAGCTTGAATAAATAAGGATAAGCCTCATGTCATGTGAGCTTTGTGGTTCATATTTTATCAAATCAACACTGTTTTAACGAAATAACAGCTGCTTGACTATCAATCCGCATCCATTTCACTGGTCTATTTTGCTCCACATGCATGTTGACCCATCTTATCACTTCATTTTGGTTGCTATCACTCCTCATTCATGCATGTCATACCTGTTGGATGGTGTGGAGAACACAGCCAGTATGATGTCTCGGCCGTGCAGGCGGAGGATGGGGCTGGTGGAGTGCAGCAGATTAAAGTAGAAGTGTGAGTCTCCGGGGATGGAGCAGTTCAATCTGGCCTTCAGAAATGATGTCCACTGCTTCTCCAACACCCGCTGAGAACCGCCCATATCACTCTTACACACACGAGCCACACGGGAGACCACCACCTGGCACGCATACACACACAGGTTTGTTTTTCTGACAATGTCAGAACGCAGGGTCCTACATATGCTCCATACTGCTGCTGTTGAAACATAACCTCGTATCTCCATTTTTGTCATTTTTTCAGTTTTTGACATAATTGAAAAATGTAAATTTCATGTAAATTTCATGATGAATGGACCAAAAGAAACAGTCCAAAATGACTTGGAGAAACATCTGGTTCCAAAGACTTCCATTAAAAGTAAAGTCTATTTTTCCCTTCTCCATTTTGGAGATACAAGGTTTTGTTCTGACAGCAGAGATATGCAAGTACCCATACATAATAATAATGTGCCCTATATGCATTACATAAAAGTGAATATCTATGTAAAAGTAAGCACCCATATGAACAATTATATGTTCCATATGTGTTCTATGTCCTGTATGTATTACACTAAAACCACCTCCTTGTTTCTACGCTCATTGTCCATTTTATCAGCTCCACTGACCGTATAGTTTCACTAAGTAGTTCTACAGTTACAGACTGTAGTCCATCTGTTTCTCTGCATATTTTGTTACCCTGTTCTTCAGTGGTCAGGACCCCCACAGAACAGGTATTATTTGGGTGGTGGATCATTCTCAGCACTGCAGTGATACTGATGTGGTGGTGGCATGTTAGTGTGTGTTGCGCTGGTACGAGTGGATCAGACACAGCAGTGATGCTGGCGTTAAACACTGTGTCCACTCACTGTCCACTCTACTAGACACTCCTACCCTGTTGGTTCACCTTGTAGATGTAAAGTCAGAGACAATAGCTCATCTGCTGCTGCCCAGTTTGTGGTGGTCGTCCTCTAGTCCTTCAGTGGTCAAAGGATGCTGCCCACAGGACGCTGTTGGCTGGATGTTTTTGGTTCTCAGTCCAGCAGTGATACTGAGGTGTTTAAAAACTCCAGCAGCACTGCTGTGTCTGATCCACTCAGACCAGCACAACACACACTAACACACCACCACCACGTCAGTGTTACTGCAGTGCTGAGAATGATTCAGCACTCAAATAATACCTGCTCTGTGGGGGTCCTGATCATTGAAGAACAGGGTAACAAAGTATGCAGAGAAACAGATGGACTACAGTCTGTAAGAGTAGAACTACAAAGTGCTCAAAATGCTGGTCAAAACTGTTTTTCTCTGAATTTCCTACAAAATCACAACATATCTGTCTGGAGAATGAAATATGAATATGAAAACAAGCACACACATATTTGTATGGTAAGCACTCTGTAAGACTTTAACAGAGTAGAATGAAGACCATAATACTCTTGATGAATTAATAAAAAGTAAACCACTCAACCTTTAAATCCTCCAGGATTTTTATTTGGCAGAGTTTCCTACTGTTATTGTTGTTTTGACTCAGAACTGTAAACTACCATAATTAATTCATGAAAATGTCAGTGCTTTCCATATCGTGGTTCAGTGGGCAATTTAAACTGCATGAAAACCACAGCAGTCCCACTAACTCGGAGCTCCACAAGAGCGGACTGCTGTCGAAAGCAGAAACCCACCGAATTAGGCATCGCTAATTAGCCAGATAAAAGGAGTCCTTGTTATTCGGCCAGAGACACGGTCTAAAGTGAAAATGAATGATGCCATTTGAGCAACGGAGAGAGGAAAATATCTCCTCCGTCTAATTTGCTCCCAGAAGTTTTATAGGGCAGGTTTATTAAATTAAATATGCAGCTCAAAAATGAGGGTGAAAAGGTCGTAACACAGTTTGTGGGAAAATACACGTTATTAATGATATTACAACATCAGCGGCACACTGAACATCTACGCTAACACACAGGTACAAATACACTCTGTTACCTCTTTCCTCTCTTCTGTTTTATCACCTTCTCCTCTTCTCTATTCTCCCCTTTTCTGTGCTCTCCTATTTTTAGCTCTTCTCTTCTCACTACTCTTTTCTTTTTCCCTATATTCCTCTCCTCTCTTTTCTTACCTTCTCCAGGTAGTTGAACTCCATGGCCATTTCTCTGAAGAAGAAGTAAATGTGTGGTCCCCACTCCACAGCGCTGACGAAGTAAGGCTCTGTGAACAAAGACACAAAATCATCATCACACGCTCAGCAGGGAAAAAACAAGTGGAATATAATGGCTGTGGTGTTCATAGTATTTTCAGGAGCCAGTACCTACATGGAATACTATGTCCCATATACCTTATACACAGGGTGTCCCAAAACAATTGACATCATTTCGTAGTCTAATAACAGCCAATTCTCCCTCAAATGATCTCACATTTTAACAAAATGTGTAAAAACTAACCAAGTATAATTTTTAATGTGTTTTTTTCAGGTTGAAGAACGGCGTCCACTAGAAATGAAAAGGCGTTGTGTGTGTTAGAATATGCTCGAACACAGTCAAACAAAAGTGTGCAGCAGCATTTTTGAGAAAATTCAATAAAAATGCACCAACTGGAAAGCAGATTTGGGCACGGCACAAAAAATTCAAAGAGGAAGGCTGTCTGTGTGGGACAAAGGGGTCTGGACGACCACCAGTATCGGAAGATATTACATTTGTGAAGCTGTGAAATCGGTTATAAAATCTACATCCCTCTGAATTTCTTGTTTGAATTTTGATAAATAAATCTTGTACTGTTCAACATGAAGCCTATTTCATTTTGTTTGCCAGGACATGTAGTTAATCAGATATTCACATCTCAAATGATGTCAAATTTTTTGGGATACCCTGTATATATGTAAATATCTATATAGAATACTAGAATGTCCTGTATGCATTATATATATGTAAGAATCTATATAGAACAATAAAATGTTCCATATGTTTATATATATGTAAGTATCTATATAGAATAATAAAATGTCCCGTATGTATTTTATAAATCTGTAACATCTATACAGAACAATTAAATGTCCCATTTGTATTATATATATGTAATTCTCTATATAGAACAATAAAATGGCCCATTTGTATTTTATGTATATGTAATTCTCTATATAGAACAAAAAAAAATGGCCCATATGTTTTATATATATGTATATATATCTATATAGAACAATAAAATGGCCTTAAATAGAATTTGTTTCACATGTATGTACGTATCTATACATATGAAAGCATCTACTTGGAATAATAATAACTCCCTATGGTTCTTATATACAAACTTAGCTCTGAAAAAGTGGGGACAGTGTGGGAAATGACAATAAACCAGGAAGCAGTGATTAATAAATCCTATTTGATCTGTATTAATTTGAAAACAGTGTAAAAAGTCTTTTTCTCTGATTTTCCTACAAAACTGGGATATTTCTGTCCTGAAAAATGTATGAATACAAACAGGCACACACACACACTGCCCTGCTGATTGTGTAGAAGCACACACTGTGTACGATGTTTATCACTGTCCCACCTCTGAACCACTTGGAGTCGTGTTTGACGGTGCGGAGAGCAGGACTGTCCCCCAAACTCCTGTAGATCACCGCATCTATGGCCAGGAAATCGGTCACTGTGGCAGTGAAGAGGTTTCCATCTGCAGAAACAATACATATATGTACATCTATATATATATAAATATATCTATACACAAACACACAAGCTGTTAATCTGTTACAGGAAACGCCATACAGAGAAAATTTATGGATTTAATAAACTCCTACTGCTCCTACAATATATCCTTAACTTATTACATCATATTTCTTTCCACTGCAGTGTGTGAGCCTCTAACGCAGCGCTCAGGGCTTAGCATGTGTATATGATTACAGCCGGAGACAGACATAAATACTGTCCGTGAACGAGCGTGTAATTAAGACAGATAATTGACGAGGAGCTCAGAGGCGCTTTAACAAAGAAATCTCTATATATGCTTCCAGTAATCAGCAGCAGTCATTTCCTGCGGGGTGTTATTGTGTAATTCACGGAAAGCTGGAGACCACGGCGGGACAGGAGTGGACAAACACGCTGAAAAGTGGAAGACAGGCAGGCTGTGTCCAGCACTCCTCCACAGCTCCCTCTCTGGGCTCTGAATAGCCTTAATAGTCCTTGGCGAACAGTCGTTTGTCTGTGTCATTTTCATTTTCTCAGTGTGATCAGAGGCGACGACAAAGTGGACGACAGGAGGAAGCTTGTTTTGATTTTTTATCATTTTGTGTTATTTATATATACGTATACATCATTTACAGTTAAATAACATATGAAGTATATGAAGTTAATGTAATGAGATCTTTGGAAGTTATTTTGGACACAATGAAAAGGACAGATTTTCAAATATTATAAAAAATAAACAAAAAACAAATTGAGGTTTTGTTCCGACAGCAAACACATTTGGAACAGAAATGAACAGAATAAACATTATCGCCCAATTTGCTTTGGTCTCAGTTCACATCCAATGTCTGATTCAGATTATAATTGTGATCGTGATTTTTTTTCTGATTCTGATTCTAATTCTGATTTAGACTTAGATTTGAATTCAGATTATAATTGTGATTGTGATTTTTTTTTCTGATTCTAATTCTGATTTAGACTTAGATTTGAATTCAGATTGTAATTGTGACTCATTCAAATTCTAATTCTTTCATTCTAACTGTAATTTATTTTGATATTGATTCTAATTCTAATTTTCGTTTTTTTTTCTGAATGTGATTTTTTTCTCAGATTTAAACTTTAGACTTAAATTTGAATTCCGATTGCAATTGTGACTCATTCTAGCTCTAATTCTCTTATTCTAATTGCATTGTACAAATTCTGATACTGATTCTAATTCTAATTAGGATTCTGATTCTTCTTTATTGTGATTTTTTCTGATGCAGATTTTTCTAAATCTAAGTCAGATTCTGATTCTAATTCTGATTTAGACTCGGATTCAAATTCAGACTGTAATTGTGACTCATTCTAATTCTAATTTTCTCATACAAACTGTAATTTTGATACTGATGATAATTCTAATTATTCTGATTCTTTTATATTTTGTTTTTTTCTGATTGATTTTCTGATTCTAACATACATTCCAACTTTGATTCTTATTCAGATTCCAAATCTAATTGTAGTTCTTATTCAGATTCTGATTCTAATCGCAATTCTGATTTTGATTTTAATTGTGACTGTTATTCAGACTGCAACTGCAATTCAGACTCTGATTCTAAGGGTGCTACTGATTCTTTTTCTGATTCTAAATTTGATTCTATTTCTGATTCTTATTCTAATTCTGATTTTGATTCTAGTTCTGATTCCAATTGTGTTTCTGATTCTAATCATAATTTTGATTCTGATTCTTTTTTATTTTGATTCTTTTTCTGATTCTGATGCTACTTACCTGCAAACAGAGCCACGTTGGCATGTTTGGGGTCATAAGGGCAGCGAGCCATCCCACTGACCGTCTCACCCACCATCTCCAGAGTGTCTCCCTGCACACACACAAACACACACACACACACACACACACACAGTGTGGTATTAAGGAGAGGTCAGTAAAGAGCTGCTCTGGCTCACAGTCACTAAACCGTAGGAGGACAACTGAACAAAAACATTCACTCTGCTGTAAAAGGTACAGCTGGCTGATCTGAGACAGAATCAGAGAGAGAGAGATGGTGGATTCAGAGAGAGAGCGAGAGAGAGAGGGAGAGAGAGAGGGAAGAGAAGAGGAATAGAAAGAAAGAATGAAAGAGAGACACAAACGCACACACATTCACTAAAACATCCACGGGCCATTCCCGCTGCAGTTACTCGACTCGTTTGAAGTTTGAGCTGATGAGAAATAATGATTTGCTGTCGTTCCATTAAAACTAACTCAAAATAAACTCCTGCTCTTTCTCTCTCTCTGTCTCTCTCTCTCTCGCTCTCTCTTTTTAGTTCCCTTTTCTTCTCAGTCTCCTTTTCCTCCGCTCTCTCTTTCTGTCTCTATCCACACTTCCTCTCTCTTTCCTCTTCTCATTTATCTATCTTTATATCTCTCTTCCCCTTTCCTCCTCCTCTCTCTCTCCTTCCTCCTCTCCCCATTCCCTCCTCTTTCTAGGTCTCTCTCTTTTTTCTCATTCTGTCATTTTTCTCTTTTCCTCTCACTTTCCCTTTCCTCTTCCCATCTGCCTTCTTCCTCACCCTGTTCCTCTCTCTCAATCCCCTCTTCCTCTCTCTCTTTCCTCTTCTTACCTATCTCTCTTTATATCGCTCTTCCTCTTAACTCTTTCTCTATCTCTTTCTCCTCTTCCACTCTTTCTTTTCTCTTCTCACCTATCTTTATATCTCTATCCTTTCCTTCTTTCTCTCCCCCTCCCTTCATTTTCCTCTCTCTCTTTCTCTCTTCCACTCTCTTCTCTCCTTATCCCTGTTTCTTTCTCTCTCTCTCTCTCTCCCTCTCTCTCTTACTCTCTCCTCCTCCTCTGTCTCTCTCCTGCATTCCCCCTCTTTCTCTCTCTCCTTCCTCCTCTCCCTTTCCTCTTTCTTTCTGTCTCTCTCTTCCTCTTTTTTCTGTCATTTCTCTCTCTTTTCCTCTCTTACTGTTCTTCTTCCCATCTCTCTCTCGCTTTTTCTTTCTCTCTCTCCGTCTCTTTCTTTCTTCTTCACCTCTCACCCCTCCTCTAACTTTTTCTTTCTCTACTTTTTCTTCTCTTCTTCTCACTCTTTTCCTCTCCCTCTCTCTCTCTGTCTCTCTCTCTCACTCATACAGGTGTAATGTCTCATTAGCAGTGTTTGCTAATGCTCTCTGTGTTCTATCACTTTGTCTCCATGGTGACAGACTAAACGACTCGCTCTCTTCCTCATCCTCCTCGCACTCCTCTCTTTTTCACTAACTTTTGTTTTCAGCGCTCTGTAATGAAGCAGCTGACAGGAACGAGGGGAACCGGCAGAGCGGATGATTAATATTTCTGTCTTTATGTCTCTTTATTTATTTATTAATTTATTTGTTGTCTATTTGTCAGGGTTTTTTTATCATTAGTGTAATTGGAGCGGCGGAGGACGCTGGGATACGGCTCAGGTGTGATGTTTCTGGATGGAAGATGAAAGCCGACGCTGCGGGAGGAATTGTAAGCGATCGCGGCGTCTATTCATGTGACGCGAGCTTTCAGCACGAGAGAAACACTCCAGACAGATAAAAGACACCCAGCACACAAACACCTGCACACCCACACGCAAATAAACCGAGAACGACGACACGACTGGGAAAGGAAAACGGCTTTTAAAGCCACTGTTTGGCCTTTAAAACGTTGTTTTTGTTACAAATACTTTTTCCCTAAAATAATATCAGAGGCACTTTACAGATCACTAATATGTGGGTGGTGATTAGAGGCTGCACGACTTCAGATTTTTCGACAGAGAATGTGTGCACTCAATAGTCTGATCATAATCAGATTTCTGCAGTTATCTGATTATTCAAATGATCATGTAAACAGCACACTCTGATTTCCTACATCGCAGCAAGGTCTAAAAATCCGTTTAAGAAATCTGATAAAGAGGCTGGATTTTAGCTCAGTAATCAGATTTCTCAGTGCATGTAAACTCTTACTCTGATTTCTTTCGGATTTCTCAGTCTGCACATGTGCGAGAACAGACGGTGGTACCGGAAATAAGCAAGGAGCGTCGCCGTGAGACGCAGCAAAACACTTTTGGAGCCACGCTGAAACCAAAGACATGCCTGATGAAGTGAAGGATTTAAATAATCTTCATTATTTCCTAGATGATGTTTGTTCATATTTTCAGATAAAGTGGTGTGGTGTTTTTTTAAAAAAGCCGCAGCATGAAGTTTGAGTTTTACGTTATGTTTATGTCATTCTTCTATGAGTTTACTGGCTGGTTGTAAAGCAGAAATCTGATTACTGCCCGACTCATGTAGACCTGGAGATTCCACATAATCTGATTACTCAAGAGCATGTAAACGTGTTGATTGTATTACTGACAAAATCTGATTTTCTGCAGTTATCGGATTATTAAGTGCATGTAAACGCACTCAGTGATGCGATCACATAACATCATGAATAAAGCCATGGGAGAAGGGAATGCTTTGCAATAAGCACCTTTAAAACTCAAACTCAAACTCCACAGGTCAGTAGAGCAAGATGTGCCCTTTCCAACAAGCCCCGGATCACACTGCTAACCTTCAGGGAACCGAAGACACCGACCCTGGAACCTTGCAAATTTGTATCCTACTTAGGCGCACCCTAGGTGGCCTTTCCGGAATGCTTACCCACGGCTCAGGTCTGTGGAGCCAGAGGAATTTAGAGCAGCGTGACTCAGTAAAGAGTAACTTACTTCAAACTTCACAGGATTATAGGGCATTATGAGTTTTTAAATTATTTCTCCATCTTTTGTCAGATCCAGTAACAGTACACACTTAAAATTATGGTTCTTTAGTAATGAAAATGGTTCTATATAGAGCCATGAACACACAAAGAACCCTTTGCATGATTAAAGGGTTCTTTGCATCATGAAAGGGTTATTCAGATTGACTTAGAGTGTGTTTCATATGGTTCTATATAGAACCATCTACAGCACATTCTCCATCAATCTGAAGAACCTTTCACGATGCAAAGAACCTTTAATCAAAAAACTGGATATTACCCTCGTAGCTCCAGCGCTAAAACTAAAGAAGTGAGCTTCAGACACAGAACGTCTTGATGGACAACTTTTAGGACAAGCGTAAAATCGGATAAAACTGATTTTAAAAGAGCACAATTAACCTGAATGAATGGAGGGACAGTGTCTGACTAACAGCAGCATCACTTATTTGGCCTATAAAAGGCGAATATAGCCCAGAAAAGCGTCTGTGGCAGAACAGAGAGGGGTTCAGCACACGCTCTGAAAGCAGCAGCGATCAATAACACTTCAATCATTTATACTGATGGCTCCGAGAAAGAGAGGGAGGCGCTCAGCGGGGGCAGACGTGGGGGGAATTTCCTTCAGATTGTGCGTGTATGACAGTGTGTCTGTGTCTGTCAGGTAGAAGAGAAGGCCTAACGATTTCTGGGACGTGTGTAATTTTATATTGATTTGTGTTTAATAAAACTGTCATGCTTGCTGTATTTAGAGCTGAACTGAAGGTCTTAGATTATCTGCCAACATAACTAGAAGGAGACAAAAGAATTATCCAATCACAGTTTCATTTACAGTGAGTTTGTGAGAAAAAACACAGTCCTTCTGGACGTTCTAGACATGCCAATGACTGAATACGAGCCGTTGTGATTGTGACTCTTTCTGATTCTGATTTAGACTTAGATTTAGATTCAGATTCAGATTCAGATTGTAATTTTGACTCATTGTAATCCTGTCTTTCCTGTAATTCTGTACCGATCCTAATTCTGATTGCGATTCTGATTCTTTTTTTATTTTGATTTTTTCTGACTCTGATTCTTTTTCTAATTCTAATTCTGATTCTAAATTTGATTCTAATTTAGTTTCTAATTCCAATTGCAATTCTGATTCTAATTCTAATTCAGATTCTGATTTTAATTGTGTTTCTGATTCTGATTTTGATTCTAATTGTGATTGTGACTATGACTCTCTTTCTGATTCTGATTCTAATTCTGATTTAGACTTGGTTTCAAATTCAGATTGTGATTTTGACTAATAACTGATAATTCTAATTCTCTCATTCTAACTGTATTTTTGACATGGATCCTAATTCTGATTCTGATTCTGATTGTAAATTTGATTCCAATTCAGATTCTTAATTTCCTAATTTTATACTGATCCTAATGCTAATTAAGATTCTGTTTTTTTATTTAGCTTTTTTTGTGTTTCTGATTGTTTTTCTAATTCTAATTCAGATTCTGATTTTAATTGTGTTTCTGATTGTTTTTCTAATTCTAATTCAGATTCTGATTTTAATTGCGTTTCTGATTCTGATTTTGATTCTGATTGTGATTGTGACTATGACTCTCTTTCTGATTCTGATTCTAATTCTGATTAGACTTAGATCCAAATTCAGATTGTGATTTTGACTCAGACTAATTCGAATTCTCTCATTCTAACTGTATTTTTGACACGGATCCTAATTCTAATTATGATTCTGACTCTTTTTTATATTTTTTTCTGATTTTGATTCTTTTTCTGATTCTAATTCTGATTCTCATTCAGATTTAGATTTTAACTGCAATTCTGATTCTCATTCTAATTCAGATTCTGATTCTCATTCTAATTGTGACTGTAATTGTGTTCCAATTCTGATTCAGAGTCTGGTTTTAATTGTGTTTCTGATCATTTTTATTTAATAGAATTGTCATGCTTGCTGTATGTAGAGCTGAACAGGGGGCCTTACACGTTAGACTAACTACCAACATGGTTAGGAAGAGTCAGAGGAATCAATCACGTTCTGATTTACAGTGAGTTTGAGACCAACAAAAGGCCTTCTGGAAGCAGGTTTAGGTCAGTTGTTAGGAATGGAAAACAGCAGTGGCAGCTATATGACAGGACTCTTTAATGAAAGAGTCACTGTAAAACTGATATATACAGGCTCAAATATATGTTCATGTCTGTTACAAGCTTCAGATAAAACACATGGAATCTAGAATGACCATTAAATTGCACCAGCCTTAGCTTAGTGCTAACTAAAGTATTATAAATCCCATAGAGAGGGTAGAAATTAGCATTATAGTAGATGTGGGCTTTTTCTCATTTTTTTAAATAAGTTTTAATATCTATGGCCCAAATTGAAGGCCACGCTCTAGCAGTCTCAGGTTCAGCCCTGTGCATAAGAATGTATGAGTGTGTATAAGTGTCTATAAACACTCACGGTGTAGTTTGCGCAGAGTGGGTTGAAGGCGTTTGTCCCGCAGACGAAGAGTCCGCCCTGCCGACTCAGCAAAACCTTGATGTAGTTTCGACACTCGTCCTGAAAATGACAACAAAAAACACACATCAGCTGAAACAGCCACACTCACAAATGTTGGTTGCTAGCTACTGTTGCTAAGTTGGACAAGCTTTACAGAACACTGATAAAATGCCATTCAACCTAATGAGAAACTGTAGAACAGACTCAGTTTATATCACAATACCTACATTTAGAGTCGGTTATTCATTCAGCCTAATGAGAAACTGTAGAACAGACTCAGTTTATATCACAATACCTACATTTAGAGCCAGTTATTCATTCAACCTAACAAAAAACTGTAGAACAGACTCAGTTTATATCACAATACCTACATTTAGAGTCGGTTATTCATTCAGTCTAATGAGAAACTGTAGAACAGACTCAGTTTATATCACAATACCTACATTTAGAGTCAGTTATTCATTCAGCCTAATGAGAAACTGTAGAACAGACTCGGTTTATATCACAATACCTACATTTAGAGTCAGTTATTCATTCAGCCTAATGAGAAACTGTAGAACAGACTCAGTTTATATCACAATACCTACTTTTGAGAAACTGCACCTCACTCTAAATACAGGAAATATGATATAAATTGTGAATTTTGTGCATAATACAGTGTGCCAGACCTAAGTTTTGTCTGAAAGCATAAGCTTGCAAAAACAGGATGAATAAAATAATGAAAAGTGGAATTTGGCATACAAGACACCATCAGTTATGCATGTGTTCCACTAACTTCAGTGACGTCTGAATGAGCTGCGTGAATAAGCGTGTAAAGGCCTTTAGAGTGACATCACATTTCTGTAAATTTCAGTGTTTTCCTACAAGAATCATTCGCATCTGTACAAACAATTAACGCAGCCAAGTTACAGTGAGTCATGCACGCAAACTGCAGGCCGATTAAAGACACATGCTGCAGCAGAGGCACCTGTGGAGGCTTTGGGGGGGGGGGTTAAGGAGGGGTTCTATTAATGCCCCCCCACCACTAATACCCCACCCTCTTTCTACCCCCTGCAGACTGCACCGCCAGACTGGCACCATCTGACTGGCACCACAGTGAGGGGTATGAGTTACTGTGGACTGATGACAACAGAGGAAGTGAGAGAGAGAGAGAGAGATAGGGGCACCCTCTATACTCCAACACTACACACCATCACACAAACGTAAAAAATACACATATATCTCACTGGTTTGCCACGTGTTATATTTAGAATTATTCTAATACCAACAATAATTCTAATTATAATAAATACTTATGTTATTACTGTGTATTTGATACTGTTTGTTGCTATTCCTACTGTTATGATGCCAATGTTGCACTTGATACAGTCAGGCCAGTAAAGATATACTGAACTAAAGTGTGAGAGAAAGAGAGAGAGAGAGAGAGAGAGAGAGAGAGAGAGAGAGAGAGATGATGGGTGTGAGTGTTAATCCAGATGCTGCTGCACCCCCCACCTATTCCTCAGAGGTTACTGCATTTTTGTACAGATTGAGAGAGAGAGAGA